TTGAACATTTTGAGCGATGGTCAAGCGGTCATTAGGTTAAATTTAATTTCGCCACATCCGTCTTGGTCGGAAACCTTCATATTAAAATAACGTTTAAAGATGGTGGGTTTCTAATGAGAGCGTTTTATTAAAGAATAATTGGAAAATGACAAAATATTAAACTGTTTGGCTGCTTGCATACAGCTATTTTTATTTTTGTTATACTTGTTTATTTCGCGATTGGCCCCAAATAAAAACACATGGATAGAGATACACCACTAAACTTCTACCGATTATTCTACATGTATAATGCTGCCTCGGATCAAGCTGAGTGGTAATGATGGGTCATGGTCGCGAAATAACTAAACTAAAAAATATATATTAATGGTAAAAAGTAAACCTGTAAGGATATCTGTTTTTATATATTGTTCTGTAATATAAATTATAATAGCGATGGGTAATATCAGATATTTACAATATCGATTCGAAACTATATATCGATGTTCAATAGTTACCTATATATTAATTTATCTGTATATCGATAACCTCAAGCCATCGTGAACACTAACTAGCATTCGTATTCATAAACAATGCTCTTTTAATATGCTTGGTGTTCTTAACAAAATGAAGTTTATTAAAAATGTGCCAGAATACACCAAAACTATGAGAAACAATCTTAATTCTAATATGCTAAGGTTTTGAATATTTGAATATTTCTATTTCACTCTCTCATAAATCCAAATTATCTATCTATATCTATTAATATCGATTACTTAGCGATATCCGAATCCAACGTATCGCATCGATGCAGCAATAAAGTGTTTAAAAAATATACAGTTTCAGTGCGCATCGATTGTAATATCCGATATATTACGATATTGATACAAAATACGTTTTAATATCTATATATAATATCTATAATAAGGTTTGTATTGTCCGTTCATAAATTGTAATACATTATAATAATAACAAATATGTATATATCGTTTGCCGACTTGCAAACTTATATCTTAAAGATGATCTGACATATAGACATATAATTATCGTTTAACAATTTGCCAGTAAACGATAATGCGCAAACTTTACCGACTATCCCAATCACGAAATATTATTGTTATACCTTTTTATTTTATATGTTGTTAGGCCCTGTGTAAATATAGCAATATCTATGTTATTTTCATTCAAAAACTCCTTAGATAGTTTCCTCAGACAAATAAAATACCTACATCTTTCATTCATGTTTTCATTCACTGTTTCATATTTTCATCATAAATTTGGATTTTTATTGCATTTAATTTGTAATTGTTTTTTTTTTTATTTGGAAAATATAGCAACTATATTTTTTTTATAAAACACTTTTGGGTAAGATTAGGGCTTAAAGAAAAACAAGATACTTTTAATAATATGATCTAGATTGAAAGTTTCACAATCTCACAATCCTTCAGACAGTGAGGACCCGCCTTTACCAACGACATTTAGGCTATAGATTTTTTTCTTTATGATGAACTTCTTAATTACGAATTCGACGTCTTCTTGATGAAGATTAATGGGGCTGTCAGATATTCCATTAACATTTATCAGCATAAAAAGTCTTTTTTTTAATTAAAGGCTTGTGTTTTATTTACAACTGCTGGTGGTACTTTATGAAATATTGCTTGCGACTTATTTCACTGGAATTTTCGATGGAAATTTCTAGGAATCGCGTCACATTGAAAACATTTTCCTGTTCGTAAATCTCACTGCTTTTGAGCCTTTTGTTGACTCTCTTATTAGTCCATGTCATTAATTAGCACCCTACCCGCATAAATATAATACGAGTATATCATCTAATACTGCACCATTACATACTTGTTTCGCTGGCAAATTATTATACAAGTAAAAATAAACAATATACATACTTAAAACAGACTACAAAAAAGTGTCCGCACACACTCAACGGACACAGAAATGCAACGGACTTTCCATAGATTTGAATGAATTTGTAAAACACTCCGTCCACTAGTCGCACACATACATATATATCATTTTCCGTGCTCGATTTCCTGATCAAGCCTCTGATTCGGAGACCCGAACGTATGCCTTTTATGAACGTCAAGTTATTCTGAACTGAAAGCGCTCAAGTATTGCGCTATCGAACTACCCAAATTAAACTTTTAACAAATTATGACTGATAAAATATAAAATTATATAATATATAAAATTATATTTTATATAATAAGAAAAAAAAGAACAATAGACACTAAACCCTCTGAGAAGAAACAACAGATTAAAGTGAAAATAAACGTTTACACGACCCGAAAACTAATAATGTAGTACGGGCGGCCATAAACGTCGGACTTGGTGTACTGGCCCGATTTATTCACCAATAATACACATAAGGGGCGACCTCGCAAATCGACTGGAATGACCCTTTTCTAGTCTTGTTCCTTGGACAAAATAAATACATGTGAAGGTGGGCACTGTGAGCTCGGTCCACTGCAACCAGGCGATGCTCATTCACACATATTTATCTTTGGGGTTCTATGTTGCATACCCTACCTATAGATATATATCGCTCTCCCGGTGCGACACTGTCACTTATGCAAAAATTTAGTTTTTCAGGAGAAGAGTTTTAAACTCTGCCACCTCACAAAACAATGACTTTAGAAGATACAGATGAGATGAATCATCGGAACATAATTCCATATGATTCATCTACAAAAGTAACTTTATCGCACCAAGTAAAGGGGGCTTAAGGACAATTATTACATATTTAACTAATCTTTGTATTTTTTGCAAAAGTGACAGTGTCGCACCGGGGGTGCGATATATACTTTTTTAATGGTATCCTATGATAAATTTAAATACGTAGGTACATAAATAATAACACCAATGATAGTGATCTAAGATTATAGAACCAGGCAAATTTGGCAACGGGATATCACATCTATAGGTATTTTTTGAAGATACAATTTCAAACAATTCAAATTATTTTTAAACGCTATCGAAAACAATATATCTTCGATTTCTGTTCACAAAATTAAAATTGTTATTGCTCGCAAATCATTTGAAAATGTTTGTTATTTCAAATATTTTTACTGTTTAAAATATATTCGTCTTTTTATTTTTTACTTTTATTGGTGACAAACGAGGTATGTAGTAATTTATCAGACTTAAATTACATTTCTAATCTGTCACAGGACCTCGAGAGATCGGTAAAGCAATTTCAATTTTAATAAAGTTTCAATAGTCTATAAAAAGACCTTTCATATTTTTTTCTACTATATTAATTATTAAGTAAAGATACCCACTTTAATAAGATTTTTAATATTTTTTATTTCGTAATAAAGTAGATTTTTGATAAATGTGATGTGTTTTCTGCACTTAAGACCACCACAATATTTCAAAGTCAAAATATTTTTTATTCAAATAGATTTCTTAAATGTACTTTGAATCGTCCAACATTTTTTCCCTACCACTAGTTCAGAACGGCTTTTGACGGCTGATAAGAAGTACGAGCAAGGAACTCACCAGCTCTGATAGGAGTAATGACATTCACAAAAACCATATCATTATCTAACTATGGTCTTATAATAATTTAATAATAATGGCAACAAGATATTTTTTGAGATATAACGAGTTTAGAAGAAATCACCTATCCAGTTGCTGGACCATCTTAAAGTCCAAGCATTCGTATATCGTATTATGGTTTCAAATCAAGGGGAGATAGAAGACAGTTTTGTATAACCTAATGTGATGATAGTATGTATTTCATACATCACCTGAATAATACATAGGGCATATTCTGTACAATGTTTAGTTATTGTAAAGAATACCTGGATTATACAAATTACTAGTGTTATTAATATATAAATCAAATGTCAAAAATATCGTTGAACAAATCCAAAAAGAATTTTCAGTCGAATTGTTGACATCCAACTGTTTAAAGTCGATTAAAAATATATTCAAATATACATAATTGCTAGTTCAATTTACTTCAGAAAGTGTTTAGCAACAATTTGACTTAAAAATATAAATTTTCTACTTTCATCTTCAATTCTACGCATTGACGTATTTAATTTAGCCACATTCAGTTAAGGGTAAATAACTTGTAAATTACTTTACATGCAAAATGATTTGAACATATTTAAATAAGCTCTCCTATATTTGTCAAATGTTGTTATTAAATATTACAATAAATACGAAATCTTTGCTTGCTTTAAAGAAAAAAATAACAAGAAAAATCTATAATAGGATTAGTTATTGTATGTTCAATCAACAGCACGCCAGATTACATAAAAATTATTTGCAGTTGATTTTAAACATCAATACACAGTTGTGAATAAAGATATAAAATCTAAATAAACTAGAAACTACATACTGAAACTACAGCAAAGATGTGTTCAAGAGACTAACGCGTGAACACTATTTAAATAGTCCATAGTTTTCCCTTGAGTAAACGGACGTTTTATATAGTATATATTATTGTATTTTATATGTATTTATATATGTATATATAGTATTTTAATGTTAAGTATGTCATAATATATTTAAATGTCATGTATGTTTATTATTAATTTGTAGGTATAAATATATTTTGTTTTTCTTTTCGAACTTCTGCATTCCTTAATAGCTGTACATTTTTTTTTTCGCTCCTACGTACTGTCTGGTTGACTGGTAGAGAATGCCCTTGGCATTAAGTCCGCCTTTTGCTGTTCGTGCAATAAAGTTTTAAATAAATAAATAAATAAATACTATGTGTAAGAGCACCAAGCCCCTCTACAAGCCACACTATCAAGAGGCAAACAAGATTTTTTCAAATTTTCCTAATAGTAAACAAAATCAGAAAGAAATCCACTAAAATTCAACTTTTCTCTCTTGTTATTACAATTCTCATCTGAATACAACAAATACAATATTTGAGACATATTTCCAAAACGAAAATATTGTAACAAATTCACACAACACACACAAACAAATAGTTTTGAAGACCATTTTTTACTGCTTCAAATACATCCATTTCGACTTTATTTCGATTCCTTTAAGTTATTCGACATTAATACGTTCTCTAGGCACAAATTTAACAAAAATATCTTCTCCTGGCACTAAAAAGAGACTCCTACTATCAGCTTTAACATCATTCGGTCTTTTAGAACCTGGTATTGGCTTTAGCTCGTACATCAGTAGAATTTTAGATAGACCATACCACATCGTACGATAAGCAAAACGCCGACCTGAAACAGATATATTTATTTTTAGATCTTCGCATCAGATCCCTTGAGGGGTAAACAGGGAACGGGACGTGCTATTTAGGCACGGTTTTTGTGCACATCTTTCGCTTCTTTGCCGTTCATAACTGATTTCAAACAGGCTCAATAGTTTTATGGATTCTGATATCACCTTCTGATAGCATGAGAAAGATACGATCGTTGAGATTTTGTTTGCCCGGCTTATATACAAAGCTGCGTAATTACATATTAATGCAAAGCCGCATAATACAAAGAACAATTGATCGCGAGACGAAGTATGAAAATGACCTCACACGATTACTATACAGCGATGAAATGCAGTCTGCATTGTTCTTTCAAATTATCTGTACCTACTACTATTAAAACGGCTCCAACATTATATCATTGGGATTGTTTTTGAACTTAGAACACCTAGCCAGGAGAAAAACAATCATCTTATGAGTCTTTCATACAGTACGTTTTGCCAGTAAGATAACAACCACCTACAATCCTACACTGTATTTATTATTCTTTATACCTATACAACTTCGTGGTCCTTCTCCGAAAGGCATAAAAGGCTTCTTGCTATCCCAGTTCTCAGGTAGAAATCTTTCAGGGTGAAAGTTGTCAGGGTCATAGTAAATTTCAGGGTCTCCGTGCATTCCCATAGAGTTCACGTAAACAGTAGTACCCTTAGAGATGGTCAAATTATCGTCAATCCTGTAATCTCTATCGCAAATCCGATCCAGCCACCCCATTGAAGTATATTTTTTTAATGTTTCTAAAATAAAAATAAATTATAGATATAAATATCCTATAAAAATTAACGTAGTAGTTACAAACAGTCTTACTTTTGAAACTCATTCTTAATTACTCTTCTCTTACCTTTAATGACACAATTGAAATAAACCAATTCACTTAATACACTGGCATCGAGTTCTTTCTCTCCCAAATCCTCTTTTGCTTTTGTCAATTCTTTGTATAACTTCACCTACAAATACCAATGATTATCTACACACAAGTTATTTTAAATAAAATCCATGTCTACACTAAATTTAAAAATGTCTCCCAAATAACTACCTAAATAATTATTATGAGTCTAAATAAGAAAAATAATGAGAAAATAAAAAAAAAGTCTCACCTATACTTCAGAGCAGTGTGCTAATTCATAAGTAAAAAAGCTCATCGCGGCTGACGTAGTATCAAATCCACCTTGGAGCATAATTACTGCTTGGGCAATAAACAAGTCCTCGTCCATAACTAAAATAGCATATGAAGTAGGAAGATAATATAAATGATTTTGCGAACTGATGGCATAGCATTCAACATTCACGAATGTTAGACTAGCTACGGCCTAAAGCCTAGATCGAATAAATTATGGTGATAATTTGGTTTTATAACGATATTTTTGTGTATTCACACATAAAAATAAATTATTCCCGAGTTAGTAGTTTGAGTGAGTAATCTGAAATATGCATGTTTCGTTTATATTATTTTGTAATCGTAAAAGTTACCAACAATGAGTCTAGTCGCAACAGTCGGTATGTTTTAGAAATGCGAGTGCGTCGGATCGTTTTTTATCATTACCCATAAATAAATTTCAAATTCATGTAAAGAATATACTTATGAGTAAAGGCTATTATAAAGTTGATGATTATTTTAAGAATCGCAATGCATGGAATTAATAGCCTTCGCTTTGTTCTATAAAGACTACTTATATGTTCAACCTATGTCCTACAGACTTTGAAAGTTCTATTTATTATTGTGATAATACATATTATTTTGGTAATGACATGATTTATGTCATTACTTATGATAAAAAGCTGGTAAGTTTCTTTCGCTTGTTCTTCTTGTCAGCTAAAAGACGTCCTGAACAAGTGGTAGAGGAAAAAAATTTTTTTGGACGATTCAAAAGTGCTTATAATAGCCTACTTGAATAAAGATGTTTTCATTTCATATTTTCATTTCATTTCATTTCATTTCATTCAACATGTATTTTCAAATTTTCATCAACAGACAGTATTCAGAAAAACAAGAATCTCATAAACAACTGAAAAATTTTCATTAAGTACAGCTGCAGTGTACAACATTTGCAAGTCGACGTGGGACATAATCAAATAAAATTTTATAAACAAAGAAAATAAAAAGGACATCACAGAAATGAAACTTAATGACAGTTCACAATATATTGACGGGCTCAATGGCGCGGTGGTAGCGTTCCTACTATTACGCCGAGAGTCGTGGGTTCGGTCCCCACCCAGGACAAACATTTTTGTGATTAACAATTATGTCTGTTCTGTGTCTGGGTGTTTTCTATTTATATTATGTATATATTTGTCAACCGTTGTCAACCCGTTGTTTCTGATAAAAAAGTGCCTAAGCTACTTTACCTTGGAATCGGAACAATGTGTGTGATGTTGTCCGATATTTATTTATATAATAATGATCCATTACAAATAAGCAACATTAATTGACCGGAAGTTGACGCCGGTGACGCCATCTTGCGGCGCACAATGACGTTCACGTGCAAGATGGCGACTATATAAGCAAGCAACCGACCTAAGCATGGCAGTCTTAGTTCCGCTCGCGCTGTGACAACTAGTGTAAATTATAAAATAAAGTGTTGCGATTATTGATAGCTATGTGTGATGTATGCAAATTAGTGAATAAATAGTTTGATGATTGAAAGTGAGGTTTTAGTTAACATCAGAAGTGGGATATTAGGCGCCAATGGGCTCTCGCAGGAAGCGCTCTAAACGTCGCGAAAGACGCTCGAGTTCGACGTCGAGTAGCTCGAGTAGCGCTCGAACACCGTCGCCCTCACCGAGACAAAGGAAAAAGGTAGCACACAAAACTGACACCGCGACTGTAAGTACTAACAACAGCTTAATATTGTGCAATATCATACCAGAATTCGACCCGTTAATAGACGACGTAAATGCATGGCTTAATATTATCGAATCTTACTCTCAAACGTTTGCCTGGTCGGATGAAGTGATTCGCTATCAAGCTTTGAACAAATTGAAAGGTTCCGCTAAAACATGGTACGACTCCTTATTACGTACTGAATATCAGTGGCCATCTTGGAAATGGAAAGATTGGCGAATAAAGCTATCGGCTTGTTTTCAAAGTAGGAGAAATATTTTTGATCTTCTAAAAGAAATACTCAATAAAAAACCCATAGAAAATCAATCTTTATACGATTTCTACTTTGATCAAAAATGTAAAATCGATCGTTTGTCACTAAACTTTACACAACAAGATATTATATCTATTATTTTAGGGAACATAGGAGAGGCAAATTTATTAGCATCAATAGACGCTAATCAGTTTACAACATGCGATAATCTAGCAAGTTTTTTGCATGGTCGAATATACAAATCCAAATTTCCTAAATCTTCAAATGTTCCTTGTGAAAACCAACCACGACAAACCGTCGCACAACCAACTACTTCCTCCACAAATGGAGGTAGTATAACCATAATAGATCAAACTGTTCCATCTGGTTCACTAGCGACCATGCAGAACATACAACGTAAATCGTTAAAATGCTTCATTTGTGGTGGGAATCATAAACGAAATCAATGTGATAAAAATAAATGCGACTTCTGTGGGAAAAGGGGACATTTAGAAGCTGCATGCTTTCACAAAAAACTGACGAAAACCGAAACGCACGAAACTAAATTTATTTCTACCCCCAACCCTCGTAACAAATTCGTTAAAAATATAATACTAAACCACGTGAAGTGTGAAGCTTTTATAGATACTGGAAGTAGTTGTTCGTTAGTGTCAGAGTCATTCGCAAAGAAAAATTGCTTTGAAATTAGTCCTTTATCCTCTCCGATTTTATTGCAAGGATTTTCTAAACAATCCTCAAAATTTGTGAGTCATAAGATAACCGTTGATTTAGAAATGGACTCTATAGCTTTAACGCAAATTGACATTTATGTGCTTGATGATTTGATGGATTATGATATTTTGATAGGTAGGAATGTAACTGAGCGATCAGATTTGATGTACATACGTGTAGGAAATACCTTTAGGTTTCATTATGCAATAAGGTACAGCGAATCCTGTAAAAGTATTAATGAACTAGATTTAGACACTGACTCTCATCATAACGAGTTAAAATGTATTTTCAGTATATATAGAGATTGTGTAGCACTCAATACTAAAGAGTTAGGGAAAGTTAATCATCACGAAATGGAAATTAACGTTAACAATATACAACCGATTCAGTGCAGACCTTTTAGGACTTCTAATAACGATAGAAAAATAATACGTGATATAGTAAATGAACTTTTAGAAAATAACATCATACGCGAAAGTAGATCGTCTTATGCGAGCCCCGCACTTCTTGTTACAAAAAAAAAATGGAGAAAAAAGACTTTGTATAGACTATCGGTTATTAAACAAAATAACTATTAAGGATAAGTACCCTATGCCACGTATTGATGACCTTATTGATAGACTTTCTGGTCACAAATGTTTTTCAAGTCTTTTAGGTAATTTAAGGTTTAACAATGTAATAGTTTATTTAGATGATATTTATCTTGTAACAAATACGGTGGAAGAAAATTTGAAGTTATTAGAACAGATATTGCAAATTTTTAGGATGAATGGTTTGACTCTGAATCTAAAAAAGTGTCATTTCTTCAAAAGTGAAATAGAGTTCTTAGGTTATCGAGTAAAGTCTGGGAAAATTATGCCAAATGAAGCGAAATTAGAATCAGTTAGGCAGTTTCCAAGACCCAAAACAGTACACCAACTTCGACAATTCATTGGTCTAATAAGCTATTTTCGGAAATTTATTAAAAATTGCGCAATGATTTTGGTGCCTTTGACAAAACTGTTAAAGAAGGATACTACCTGGGCTTGGGAAGACAAACAAGAAGAGACATTTCAATCGTTAAAAAATAAATTAACATCAGATAATTTCCTGTCTATTTTTGATCCCAATAGAGATAGTGTTTTATACACTGATGCTAGTCGAGAGGGTATTGCAGGAATACTTATGCAAATTACTAATGAGGGAGAAAAACCAGTCCATTATTATAGTAGGCAAACTACCGAAAATGAAAAATTATACCATTCATTTGAATTAGAACTGTTGGCAATTATTTGTTCGCTCCAAAAATTCCGCCTATATCTGTTAGGTTCAAATTTTAAAATCATAACTGACTGCAGTGCTGTACGATATGCGCTCACTAAAAAAGATATTGTCCCACGCATAGCTCGATGGGTATTAGCTACACAAGAATTTTCATTTGAAATTGTCCATAGAGCAGGTACACGTATGCTGCATGTTGATGCATTAAGTCGAAATCCTGTAGTTTCGGGGGAAAAGTCTGAAGTTGAAATCATTATGTCCATTACTGAAGCAGATTGGTTGCTGTTAGTGCAAACACAAGACTCTAAAATTCAACAATTAAAATCAATTTTAGAATCAGGAGAGGCCGACCAAAATAGAGATGTTTTTGACAAATACGAATTGCTTGGGTCAAAAGTTTACAGAAGAACATCAAAGGGTCGTCGATGGTTAGTACCAAAAAAATGTATTTGGCAAATAATTAAATACAACCATGATGACATTGGACATTTTTCTGTAGACAAAACTGTAGAAAGAATATCAAAGTTTTACTGGTTTCCCCACATGCGTCGTATTATAAAAAAGTACATAAAAAATTGTTTAAATTGTATATACTTCAAAAACAAAGGGGGTGCCAAGGAAGGCGAATTATTTCCAATGCCAAAATATGCTCAACCTTTTCATACACTTCATTTAGACCACTTGGGTCCATTTGTAAAAACCAAAAATAGAAATAAATATTTATTAGTCGTTGTCGACGCTTTCACAAAGTTTGTTTTTATTTTACCTATTCGTTCGACTAAAACATCCACCACTATTAAAGAGTTAGAAATAATCGCTAAAACATTCGGAAACCCTAAGAGGTTTATCACTGATGCAGGTACAGCATTTACATCAAACAAATTTACACAATATTGCACTGATAAAAACGTTAGACTTCATACAGTAGCTACAGGTATGCCACGGTCTAACGGACAAGTTGAAAGATTCAACCGAACCATATTAGATGCTCTTAAAGCAGTTGGGGCAAATACAACTGATGACAATTGGGATCAGTATGTAAAAATAATTACTGCAGGGGTTAAACAGTACCATTCACAAAACGATAAATGCGGTACCAAGCGAAGTGTTTTTCGGTTACCGACTTCGCACTGATAGTGATAGTTTAGCACCTCAGCTTGATGATGAACCTATATTAGATGTTACTAAATTACGTGAGAGAGTAGATACAAATATTAAGGCCAGTGCATTAAGACAAAAAAAAGACATTTGACAAATATCGAACTAAAGCCCGAGTATATCGAGAAGGTGATTTAGTTTTGATCAAGATCCAGAGTCAGAGTAATGATGGCAGAAGTAAGAAGCTGCTTCCATTGTACAAAGGTCCCTTTAGGGTTAAGAAAGTCCTGGAAAACGATAGATATGAAGTGACAGATGTGCAATGGTGTGAAAGAAGTATACTGGTGTTGCTGCAGCTGAAAATATGAAACCTTGGATCAAGATCGATGATTGGGATCTAAACTGATACAGATGTAATTTATATATCAAACGTCAGGTAATTTTGTCTCCGTGTTGGCATAAGTATATGTTAAACTACTAATAATAACATATAACTTTTAAATATTTCCTGTAACTGACTTGTTATTTTAATAAATAGAAATTAAAAATACCTAAAACCGTCGGTATTCCAAGGTAAATAAATAAGTTACCTAAATATAGTTCATGCGTGTAAACATACTGACTCGTATATAAGTGAGGTAGGACGTGTTGAACCAACTCGGTATGCTTAAGTGAGGTTATTGCCCTTTGAGTGCGAGTGGTTGCAAAAACTAAGACTAACTTGGTCCCTTAAGTGTGGTAAATTCCCTTTAAGTGCAAGTGGTCTTCAGTTTAGTCGTCATGGAAACAAAGACGAACTTGGTCTCTTAAGTGTGGTAAATTCCCTTTAAGTGCAAGTGGTCTTCAGTTTAGTCGTCATGGAAACAAAGACGAACTTGGTCTCTTAAGTGTGGTAAATTCCCTTTAAGTGCAAGTGGTCTTCAGTTTAGTCGTCATGGAAACAAAGACGAACTTGGTCTCTTAAGTGAGGAAAAGTCCCTTTAAGTGCGAGTGGTCTTCAGTTTCAAAATATTCTGTTTGCGATCAGTATGTGAACATGTTAAGAAGACTGAACATTATACGTGTGACATTTACATTATTTCATATTTAATTTCATATTCTCAGTTTCAGTATATTCCATAAAATTGTGGCGTCTGGGGCAAACGCCTTGCAGAATGGCCGTGTTGGCAACTTAATGAAATCAACATTAATTGACCGGAAGTTGACGCCGGTGACGCCATCTTGCGGCGCACAATGACGTTCACGTGCAAGATGGCGACTATATAAGCAAGCAACCGACCTAAGCATGGCAGTCTTAGTTCCGCTCGCGCTGTGACAACTAGTGTAAATTATAAAATAAAGTGTTGCGATTATTGATAGCTATGTGTGATGTATGCAAATTAGTGAATAAATAGTTTGATGATTGAAAGTGGAAAATATTTCTATAAGTAAAATGTAATACTGAACAATTCAACTAATTCCGGACAGAAGAATATGCAGCACTACGCAAAGCCTCTTAAAGCACTAAATTTCATGAAGTCCTTTGTGATAGATCTCAATGGACCATCGCCTGTGATGGTGGCGTTGCTCTCCACGCCGAAGGCAGCTATACCGATGATGTCAGTGGTAAAGTCAGAGAACATATTCTGAAAATAATATCATTCGAACAAAATAATAAAGGCAAATTACATGAGGTTTTTACACCTGTAATTAAATTATTTGTTTGAAGTACGAATTTCATAGCTTTTGAAGCAGAAGTTGAAACTGAAACTGGAACCACTTGTACAAAGAAATTTGTTTTCTCAGTCCGGGTCACATGATCCATTTTCGTTCTAATGAAAAGCTTATATATAACAAACACTATAAATTAAAAGAGTAGTATTAAACTGTATTTTAAAAATAAAAAATGATACCCTTAATTCGTTTGGCTTATTCTCATCGAGACTCTGCGCAATTCTTCGCACCAAGTCCTTAGTCTTCGTGTTATAAAGATTATGGAATGTTTTTATTTTTGCAGATGTAAATAGTGACGTCAATGGTCGCCTCATTTTTGACCACGTCGGTTCCTAATAAAAAGAATCATCAGATTAAAATATTTGAAAGCTATTTGTCTTGTTTGGTGTATGAAAGCCTTTATATTAGGGGCGATCCATTAATCACGAGATATTTTATCAATATTTCTTAACCACCCCTCCTCCTTGGTGATACATGGTGAGGTCTAAGACTAAACGCCCCCAAATCACGTGTATTTTTCGTACCTACAAAAAATCTAAATTTTTGACGTCACTCGTCACTTAAGTAATCGCGCGTTTGAGGGAAAAAAAAATTACATGATATATTACAACATCTCCCTTTCCCTTGTGATATTTCGTTATTTTTGAGGAACCCCCCACCCCCCTTTCGAGTCTCACGTGATTAATGGACGGCCCCTTAGTTATCATTATCGTCTATTTTTATAATAATAATATTATTTATTTGCGAAACTATTGTTACAAGGTAGTTTTACAATTTTAGACCGGCATATTTTATCGTCAAGACGATGTGCAAATATTACAGTCAAAATACAATATATTGTCTGTTTTATATATAATAATAACTTTATTTCCAATAACATGACAATATTCTTTGAGCCCTGTCTCCCATACTTGAATTTGAACTGTATAATGGGAGCCAGTGCCTTCCTAATTACTGTTACAATTCAATATTGGAGGTGGTCTACCAGAATAATAAATACAGTAGGTTATTATTAACATAAGTTAGCCAAAATGTTTTACCAAAACCAAGAAGTATTATATATAAAAGAATATAAATAATATAAAAGAAGTATTATGTATATAAAAAAAATGTTTAAAAATTTAATTACATAAAAAATAGTGAATGTCAAATAGTCATAAGATACAATAAGTAAATACCAATTATTTATCAAATTGATATAATTGCAAAAGAAATGATAAAAAGCAAAATCTACAAAATTTTATATGAAAATAGACACAAACCTTAAAGATGCCAACGCTTGAAAACTGCAAAAGCATACCAAAATTTTAATATTTACAAATATATTGCTTACATTGACCATGAATAAATTCAACCCTGCAATAGGGTCAACTTTACTGGATCCGCTCCCAAGTAATCTGTTCCTGAATACGTCAAAGTCCTTTATGAGAACCCTCTGAGCGATCTCAGGCGAGTTGATGATCAACGCTGGTCGCCAGAACAGCCAAATTCCGATGTAAGGTGATTTAAAGCGCTGATACATACGGCGTATCCATATTGCCTAGGAAATTACATAATGACAAGAAGGATACGTTCGTTAGTACGTAGTTATAGACACAATATAATATTAGAAATCATAAACTGGAAACTAATGGATTACAATTTCATTAAAGTCAAGACATTCAAAGGCTATCTACTGAAATATATATATCGGATGTTTTAAATTGAATGTGGCAGTAGATAAATGAACTTTTATACTAAATTACCCTTACAAGAGTGGACAATTTGCTATATCTCTACATTATATTAAATTGGTAAATCTATATTTAATATATTGAAATATTTAAGTTTGTTTGCATGATATACTAAGCAATTAAGTATACATTTAGTGATAAAAAATAAAAACTGATTGTAGACCGGATTTTGATAAAATTTGGTATACAGATAAGGTGTTAGCTGACTTTGATAATAGGATACTTTTTATCCCACTAAACATTTCCCTAGGGTCCACGCGGGCGAAGCCGCTGGCGAAAGCTAGACAATTTATAATTGGGACTTATATGTTATGTAAACGGTAAAATGGATTTCATAATTAACTGTTAATTTGACAGAACTAAGTTTCTACAACTTTACCTCGTTATTTGAGTATTTTCTACACTTTTTATATTACACTAGCTGTTTTCTTGCTACTTTCTTGATTAGTTAGTACCCGCGTATGGAGTAGCGTCTGGTAGATGAAAGAATTTTCAAAATTGGATCAGTATATCCGAAGATACACCCTACAAAAAAAGAAAGTTAGAAACTTTAACCTTTTTATAACGTTAGTTAGTTCGACTAGTACAGAATTACTCTATCTTTAAAAACTCAAATCTAGTGATCTTGTGCATAAGCGGCACTGATTGACTTGTATGTGTCGCAGCCAACTGTTATAAAAGACCGTTCAATTGATCGGCTAACCATTTAATTAAATGGCGCCTCTCAATTGTACGCCTAGTTTAATAGTTTAATCATTATGACATTCGGAACGTTTAACAATACGGCTGATTAAAAAGCCGCCAAAATGTTAATTCGGTTATCTATTAAAAAGAATGAACCACGATATTAAAATTTCTAATTAAATCACGTGCCCGCAGGATTTATTATTTTATATCGTAATTAACTATTGTAGTAGCGAATTTCGACATCGTAATAAGCATACTAAAACAATCGCAGTCAAATACATTGCTTACTCTTATATCGATAGATGGCGCTGTGCCATCTGAATCGCGGTATCTTGTCTTTGTATAAATGTATTAGTATAAAAAAAAATGTGAAAGTTTAAGTTAAACCCACTAGCGTAGTGGCTGTGCACGATAGCTTCTTGTATTGAACCATACGGACCACTAACGCCCAATCGCGTGTAAGCAGTTTATTATTATCTTTTTTATTAGTGCTGTATCTATATTGATTACAGATCATAACTAGGAGTTTTTGCGTTTTAAGTTTAGAGACTTCTAATCCTATCAATAAATTTCGGTATTTCCGATGAATATACAGTTAATCAGTTTGCTGACCGTTGTTCAGCAGTATTCTAGAATGTTGCATTCATCTACTCGGCTGATCGAAAGTCAGCGCGTTAATTGAATCACACCATTCATTTGGTCAGCTGATTATACCACTTGGCGACATAAACATGTTACCACACAATTTTATTTGTGACAAATATCAGTACAAACATTTGAATAAAAGTCTGAGCCAAACATTTACTGAGATTAATCAACTTTTGTTTATATCTTAATTTCTTCAGATTCGGGCTCATGTATGAAGAACATGATAATTGACAACTTACAGAAACATAGGTACTTAAGTCTCAAGCCCCCGAAATGGTATGGAAATGCAAAATTTATCAAATGTACTCGTATAATAATCTGATACCTGTAGATCACAGCACACACAACTTCTATTCCAATATTGTTAATAATAATAATCTTTATTGACTATAAAATCGATACAACGAATTTTTACACAAGTGATTCTTAAAATATTCTTCATTACATCTATTTATCATCTGTTGCTGAACTTGGTTGATACCTGTATTTCAGCATACAGCGCCACTGTCCTCAGAAAATATGTAATAAGATAAAAAAACAATAATAACAAGCCACACTAAATAGATCTGAACCATAAGAAACAAACAACTTGTACTAGTTATTAGTATGTAATATAATCAATAAAGTGTAGGTATATTTATATGTAAAGTAGAGTAGTAAAGTAGAGTAGAATATTGTTAATTACTCAGAATAAAGTCAAAAAACATAATTAATGGTATCTACAATCGTCAATTGCAATAAACACAAAATGTTTAGGGTTCCCTTCCTTTTAGTATACATGATGTTTTTTTTCCTAATATACTTGGCATACATAATTACTCTTCACATAGGTACTTCAATTTGCCAAAATCATTTTTTGATACACGGTATGGTTGGCATAATTATTTTAAGGCTACTTTCTGCGTAAATTTAATTTTTCATACACACAAAAGAATTAGTTTTTATAATAGGGATGATCACTCGGTAAAAAAAAAGAAATTCTATGCAGTTTGACATTTATATAATAGAAAAATATTAGATATGTATGTTTTTGCTTCAATTTAACAAGAAACAGCTTAGATAATAGCCATTGAAGTTGAAGAGTGGGAGCTCGCTACGTCACAGTTTCATAAATAATGTACTAAAGTGTGACATTCCAACTTAATTGATTGATTATCCAGAAAATAAAAAAAACGTGTTAATATTCTTCAACAATCTACCTGACAGACAAAGAAACAAATATAAATCGTCATCCATATTGTGACCAAAACAAAGAACGATCTTAGCGAGCAAAGAGAAAGCGCCAGGGCAATGAGTACGAGTTTTTAAATTTATGCTTTAGGATGTTATTCGTAAATATGATTAGGATAAACAAAAGGCACGACAAGTAAAAATTGTCTTAAGATTTAATGCAAACTGATAAGGAACCCGCTCATTAAAAATTGTTCACTTGTACTGATAACATATCTGGCACTAGTTTTTATACAGATCAAAGAGCATATTTTGAAATTATGTATCTGGTGAGAATGATATCGTGTCGAAACGAATGTAATAAAGAGATCACGCCAAAATACAATACCTAATTCTATATTAATATTATAAATGTGAAAGTTTCTTTGTTTGGATGTTTGTCCGTTAATCACGCCGAAACTACTGAACGGATTTTGATCAAATTTGGTATACAGATAGGGTATTAGCTGACTTAGATAATAGGATACTTTTTATCCCACTAAACATTTCCCTAGGGACCACGTGGGCGAAGCCGCTGGCAAAAGCTAGTAACGAATAAATCTTAATATTTATTATTCATCACACACATTACATGGTAAGCTTCACACAAAAATATGCAAGAGATTTGTAACGGTTGCCCCTTCAATAGGTACATGTCGAGGCACTCGCTTCTTACATTAGATGACTGGTAACAGGGATGACGATTGGTTAAAAAAAGAAAAATCTATTTATTCCATCAGTCACATATTAGTAAAATTTTATATACGTCTATTTTTTGCTTCAGTTTAAACAAGAAAAGGCTTAGATAATAGGCATTAAAGTTGACGACGTCAAAGTTTTGTAGAAAATGTACAAAAGGGTCTCGTTATGCGAAATTTCAACTCAATTACCCAAAAATAAAAAAATGTATAGTCTCATCCCCATTTTACTGGTCTTGGTAATTATTGATAATTTTGTTTGTGTGGTATCTTTAACTTTTGAATTGTTTGAGCTGCTGTATATAGCTTGCTAGTTTGCTCTGGGATTTTACTAAATCCTGTCAGCGTATTTCCTATGATTTCACTATTAAGCACTACCCAATTTCGGTGTGTGCCGACAAAATTCATCAGGCGTTTCACATTTGACTTTGTTTATAATTTTTCTCATTCTGGGATTTATCACATTGTAATAGTACTCGTAATAGGGGTTAAAGTAGGAAATTCGCGATTTGTACTAAAAATCAAATTTGTTTATTTTTTCAACAAATTTATTTAATAAAAATTGTTACTATTATTATCTATACATTGCTGCCATCTAATAGGAAAGTAATTTATGCCTTTGCGATAAAACTTTGAGGATCTAGACTGCACAAACTGTGTGATAGCATTTTGTACTGCGTCCTGGGAAGAAAACTTATTGTCACGTAGATAATTGTCAAAATCACTAAAAATGGTAGTCCGTTGGAGCAAGGTCTGGAGAATACGGAGGATGACGAATGGTTTCTAACTGCAGTTTCTGAAACCACCAAACAGTTGCCATTACCTTTTTATTAATAAGTTTTGCTTTAGGACACTGTTGTGGCGTTTGACCTGGGGCAGCCATTGCATTTTTCTTTTACGGTTATCATAAATAATCCACTTTTCATCACTTGTCACAATTCGATCCAATATTCCTTCATATCTGTACTGATTCAACTAGGCAACACAAGTTTCAACACGCGTTTCTTTCTGGAGATCAGTCAATCATGAGGCACCCATTTTTCGTATTTTTTATTTTATTGATTTGACGCAAATGAGTCAATATTATGGGTAAGTTGCCGATGATGATGCCGCTAGCTCCTCGGTAGTTTGACTAGAATTGGTTTCCACCATCTCTCCTAATTCATCGCTATTCACCTGTGTGGGCGGTTTTTCTTGTGGCTCGTTCTTCAAGTCAAAGTTCGCATCACGAAAGCGTTTAAACCAAAATCGCAAGGCGTGTTCATTAGCAGACCCCTCTCCAAACGCAACACTGATATTGCGGGCTGTTTTTGCCGCGTTACTTCCGCGTCGGAACTCGTATTCAAAAATCACTCGAAATTTCGATGTATCCATCTTGCTTGTTAAATAACAAAATCAATTGAAAGTCGATATTCAAATGTTTCACACTTTTTAAAAGAAGAACATCATAGAAAAAATGTAAAAAAAAAGTTTCTTTCGAAAACCTCAAACCATGAATTGGCAATTCAAGGAACCTATTACAATAAAACGGCAATTTCATACTTTAACCCCTAATATTTCGATACTAAAATATAAGATTAGAATTGTCGATTGGATTCGACAGTGTTAGGAGTTTTTGTTGTGATTTAGATCCCTTGCATTATTTTTTCACTCTATAGTGGTGAATGGTGGTGAAACTCATTGAAGTTTTATCAAAAGCTTCAATGTTTTATAAAACATTGCTAAAATGACTTGATGTTTTTTAAAATATATGAGTTTCTAAAATACAGTAGGTACATATAAAATATGCTGAGCTAATGCCAGCCCAATAACGCAACAAAGATTTTTAATTACCCATTCGCCATCGTATGTCCTAGACTGATAAATGAGGGATTAAGTTATTTGAAAACTATAAACACAGAGTAAATAGCTTTGATTATCGGTAATATAATTCTATTATTGTTAACACATCCCGAAAATGTCGTTTAATTGGTATAATCCAAACCCAGGTTATGAGTGTTCCAAAAAACGAAGAAGCGCTTCGGGAAAAGTAGATTTGAAGACTAGGCATCATGATGGCCACGCCTCTAAACCCAGATAGTTATAAAATCAGACAATAAAAAAACTACTTTTACTATACATAATATATTATTGCCTTGCTACAAATTTAACATAAGTTCCACTTCCAGGTGTAAGGAATAGTCCCCTGTGATCAATTTCACACCGCGCAGTCGGCTTGGTTCCAGGGATTGGCAGGATCTGGTACTTCAGCAGTACTGAGGACGCAGCGTACCAAATTGTGTGGTATGCAAAACGCATGCCTGTAATAATAGGGTTACGAATAATTTTAAAATTTGTCAATTCCTTTGTTGTTGAATTTTTATAATAACCTCTATTTGACATAGGAAACGTCGTATTCCGTAGAATTAATTGAATATAGTCACGTATGACTTATAAATTTCATAAACTTAATTTTCTTTGTGATCACCGTAACAACTTTCTTAACCTGATGACCCGAATATTATTAACTAAGTAAAAAATCGTGAACACCGATCCAACCGCTCTTCGAAATGCTCTAAATGTATTGTGACTTTGTTTCAATTATAGATAAAAATATAGCATTAAATGCGGTGCAAATGTAAATTGTTAATTGACCTATGCAAATCCGAGGGCCAGCTCCAAACGGCATGAACGGTCTGGTGCCGTCGTCGTTTTCAGGGAGGAACCTGTCGGGATTAAACTTGTCCGGGTCTGGATAGTGGTCGGAGTCGTGTTGCATCCCCATCACGTTTACGTAGATATTAGTTCCTTTGGCAATGGTCAATTTATCATCGATTTGGTAATCCCTATCGGCGATCCTGTCCAGCCATCCCATCGCAGGATACTTCCGTAATATCTCTGGAATTAAATTACCTCAAATATATATAATCCACTACAAATGCAACTGTGATGCATATATATTATCTTGGGCAGTTTATTTCATATTCAAGATTGCTATTAGAACCACAATGGGTGGTAAAATATGTAATGTAAAGTACTTAGAATATTTAAGCACAAGTTTTGTTTAGTTTATATATCATATCATTATTTTAAAAAAGGATAAAAAAATATTAGGTACCCTTGATGGCGCAATTGAAGTAGACCAATTCACTGAACACACGGGCATCCAAATCTTTATCGCCAAGCGCCTGTTTTGCTTGTGACAATTCTTTGTAAATTTTTTCCTACAAATTATAAATGAATAATTGAGAATCTCTATGCCACTGATAAAAATAATTACTGTATCATAAAAAAATATTTTATATTTTATAATTCTTTAAAAAAAAAGTAGCGTCAAGTAAAGATTTTAATTACTATAAGAAGATAATGAAATAAATAGAAATTAACAGGATTGAAGAATCAAAAAGAAAGAATCACACCTGTATTTCTGGATTGTATGCTAATTCGTAAGTAAGAAAAGTTAACGCGGAAGCTGATGTGTCAAATCCACCCTGCAAGAAGATAGCAGCTTGCGCGATCATTGTGTCTTCATCCATAACTGGCGAATGAAAATAGTTTGTTTTTTATTTGAAATGTAAAATAAGTAAATATTAATAACTTATGTATGTAAATAACTCATATAATAATTATTTATCATGTAACTATAACATGATAAACAAATTATTGTTACATATTATTGTTATTTAGTTGTTAATAGTTATCTAAGATTTTAAATAAGGAAAGTATTCAAAATGCAATTAGAATAAAAATTACCTTTACCAGTATTATAATATCATTATTCCAAATGCCAAGATACGGACTTTCCTTAGGAATACATTTTTTAAGATTTTCACAAACTATAAATATTGAATACAATTTTATAATGATTTTACAATTTTGCTACATCCTAAATTAATTAGTTAAAGACTTGTACTACATATGAAAATGATGAAAAATTGCCACAAACGTAAAGCTTAGTTTCTACAGATAGAAAAGGCAAAGACGCCAAAGATAATGAATATATACAAGGCACACGACGATCCATGACTGATCTAAACTAGTTCACTGGTAAGAGCTGTCCATTAAATTTGCACAATTGACGTCCATACCTTCATTATTTTTATCTGCTTCGTACTTTATCAGACGTAGAGCGTCAAGCAAATCGTTAACTTCTGCTTTATCATTGTAACCGCCTCTTTGAGCTACCACATGCTTGAAGATGCTTCTTAAAACTCTGACTGATGATTTAGGGAAAAGAACGAATCTAAAAAAGATACCACAATAATATGAGATGAATTAAAATAAATTGTAAGTAGCTGATCGTAGAATATTGACCGTATTAAATATCAAATCAAATTAAATAATCTATTGCATGTCCCATTAAAATTATAAGATGGCATGTGACGCCGTAAGGGCATAGCAATGTTACAATACAATTTTTGAAAATTAGTAATATTACAAATTACATATCAAGAAACTTATTACAATAAATATTAACAATAATTAAATTAAATTACTTGTTTCAAATATTACAATGTCCATCAATAACAATTTTTAATTTATTAATAATAACAATAATATAATATTTATGTCAGTTTTTCGTTAAAAAATTCATCTATATTGTAATATACCTTATTTATTAAGAATAATTTTAATTGATTATTGAATTGAATTTCTGTTTCCAGATGTTTTTTATAGTTTGGTATATGATTTATACCAAACTATATATGATTTTTTATTGACATAGCATGCGGACTAGACGAGACTATTGCTAATTTAGAGAAGTGTATTTTTAGTTTGTTTAAATATCTGTTGCCTCTTAACACGTGTTATAGGTGTATAAATAAAGAATAACATATTACTTGCAGAATCAAAAAATGACAAAATGGTAATGTAAAATTTTCAACGTGAAAATAGATGCTGTGCATATATATCCTGATTTAAAGCTATAAATTTTAATACTTATTTTATTTTCTAAGTAATTATTAAGTGTTACGGAACTCTTAACTATATTCAAAAAGATTGTTTGTATCACAAATTAAAATGTATTGTTTTAATATTAGTAAGTCAACTTTTACTCTATTTTTTTACTTATTTACTGTATTCTCATCAATTGCATTTCAAGTCGGGATATTTGAATATTTTACCTCAAGTAACTGGCTATTTCTGGAAGGAAGAATATACTGCACCATTGCAGCCCTCTCAGGATGCTGTATTGTTGAAATTCTCTAGTGATAGCCCTCAAGGGGCTATCTCTCGTCAACGTTGTATCACTTTGAATTCCAAATGAAGCTATACCGATAATGTCTGTGGTATAATCGGCATACAAATTCTTAAAGTAGAAAACACTCGAAATTAAATCGTATCACAAACAACTAACATTCTACTAGTACTATCTTTATTTAAGGTCTCGATTCCCTTGCATGAGTGACATAACGCAGAAGAATTTAAAGATAACCCAATCCATATCAAAACAATCATTTGCCTGTATAAACTTTTAAACTTTCGCGATGATATTAGACTTTATAATTTGGTAGTTAGGCCGGTGTAACCTGGTCGAAACGTCGGGAAATATAGATAGGTAAAAAACCTAACTATCAAAATCTATCGTGTTAATACCCGACTTATACAATCTATCATCACTTGCCTGCCCTCGCCAGAATTATTTTATTTGCGATCCATACAATATGTATTTGTCTTCCGAACTTCTCAATCTCGACCTACATCTTTCACACAGTCTTCCTAAGTTGTCTTCACTTTTGCTAAATTCATTTTCATAATCTTTTAATCCAAAGTTATATAGAAATAATCCCAATAACTAAAATAGTAAAACATTATCTTACCCTGAGTTCCAAAGGTTTGTTAATCTTAAGATCATTTTTGATTCTTTGCACCAGTTCTTTCGCTTTATTAAAGTATAGTTGATGCAAAGACTTTAGTTTAGACGATGTGAACAACGGCGATAGTCGACGTCTGATGGAACTCCACATAGGATCCTGTTGACATCTAACAATATTAATTCAGAAATTCGTTGTATATACCAAAGTAGCTTTTGCGCGCGACTTCAACTTAAAACAAATATTTATTCATTATATCGTGTAAAATACCTGAATATAAAGTTTTATGATCTAATCTTTGACTAAACTAAACTTCAACACAAACTTTAATTCCCTATTTCAACACTTTTATCACAATAAAAAGCGACCTATCTCCTATTTCAAGTCAATTCTGATAAGTGGGTAAGGCGTGATAGCGTAACAGACATATACCTTCGCAATATTATATTAAAATAGGATAATTAAACGATTCTCCTTATTTCTAATTATATCATACAATCAAAGTTTACCAGAGAGTTAAAAAAATAGACTACTTAAGAACAATATGAATTACAATTGCTTTGTCGACTTTTAAACTCACAGCTGTTTGCTTTTCGAGTTCAAACTGAGGAGATTTTGTGTGAATTAATGAAAAAAATATAAGTTAATATATAATGGATATGTCGTAGCCAACTGGGTAAAAGATCCATCCAATTGAGCGGCTAGCCCTATCATAGAATGGCGCCAATCATTTGCTTAACGTCGATCAGCTGAGTAACCATCTCAACGTCCTTCTACAGTGCGGCTGTATAAAGCCCAGGGAATTATCAAGGAGCACGATACAAAACACAATTGTTAATTTTGTTAATAGTGATATTGGAATATCGCTTAAAATTCTTTTGCTGTTATAACGTCGAAGTCACTGTGTTTATTTATTTAAGGTACAGTAACAGCTACACATCTATATAACTATAACTTAAAAAAAAAAAACAGATGGAAACATAAAATTTTACATAAAACATAATCGAAAACTGAGATCTACGCAAAATACATTTATAGTTACGAATAAACGCCATCTAGTAAAACAAAGATTCAATTTCTTACTACAATTTATTTTAAAACTCAAACTTGACGAAAACAGTATTATGTAGAAATATATTTCACGCCACCTAGTAAAGCTCAAATTATATAATGTTTTCTTTCGTATATAAAATGAATTGTAATAATACCATTTTCAACACTTTAAAACGAAGCTTTATAAATAAAAATAAATAGCTTTATAAAATGACAAATCTAATAATAATCAATGGTTGCTATGGTAACATTTTGATTCGCCATATAAACTTCCACTTCCATTTTCGTCCATCAAAGTGCTGGTTATCAGGATAAAATATTACATTCCCAGAGTTTACGATATAGGTGTTAAACAATGAAGTTTCATACAAACGTTTTCACCCTTTTAATCCCCTTCGAGGTGGAATTTCCAAAAATCCGTTCTTAGTACACCTCTGCGTAATAAGATGTACCCTCTAAATTTCGGCAATTTAAGCTGTGTGTTATCTATTAGTCAGTAAGTCAGGACATCTCTTTTTATATATGTACCACCTTGTGCCTACGACTTCACCTGCGTGGTTTAGTTTTAAGTCCAGAAATGAGAAAATTCCATAAAAACTTTCATACCCTAATTTACCCCCTTAAGGGTCGAAATCGTAGTCTTAGTGAACACCTACGTCGTAAAAAGAACCCGCATGCAAAATTTGAAACTCCTAGCACTTGTAATAACGAAGTTTCATATAAAGTTTCATCCCCTAATTTAGTCCCTTCAGGGTGGAATTTTCAAAAATCCCCTCTTAGTGCTCGTCTACACTTGCCAAGGGTTACTTCATTCCAAATTTCAACTGTCTACGCTCAGTAGTTTCAGCTATACGTTGTCTTTCAGTCAGTAACTCAAGAATTTTATATATTGTTACATAGATAGATAAATCTGGGTAGAGACCAAACAAATCGGGCAGTTCTCGAATTAACATAAACAAACAGGCTTAACGGTCTATGTGGAAATTTGTAATTAAACTATTGAATTTATGGTCACTCACATTCAATGTAAATATGTTTAGTCCTCCGATTGGATCACTGTTTTCAATGTTTGTCCCTACAAGTCTATTTCTGAAGGCATCGAAATCCTTAACTAAGATCCTGCGGGAGATATCCGTAGAATTGATCAAAAGGGCTGGTCTCCAGAACAGCCATATGCCGATATATGGCACCTTGGGATAACGATCGTACATATCACGTATCCAAGTCGCCTGAAAAAAGGATACCTTATTTGTAAAGGCCTCACTTAACAATATGTGTAAAAGTAGTTCTGTGAGTATTTTGACTTTCTCTGGAACTGGAACTCAATACATCAAACTTTCGAACAGAAGCTAAGAATCCATTTTTGGAGCACACAAACAAAACGACTACCACCCTAGCCGAGTGGATCGTACGCCGGTTTCAAGGTGTCGCCATCTAAAAGGTCTCGGGTTTGATTCCCGGTCGGCTCAATGTAGAAATAAATTTTCGATATCGTTTCAAGGTTGCATGTTGTGATACCTTCGTTGTCTCAGGTACTCCATAATACGGGAGCTTTAGCTATTATTGGGATCTGAGTAATGTATGTGATGTCTGTACATTTATTTATTTTATAATAAATAAAGCATACGTGGTACAAATCTTAATACTAAACAGTTTCAACCTACCGTATTAGATGTAACAATAAATTTTAAACTAGTAACCCTGACTATAAATATTATTATTTAAATGGTATAGGCTAAAAGTAAAAATGAACCTGTCGAAGATTCAATATGAACTTACAATGTTGATCTTCTGCATAAACGTGAGGCTGCCCAGCACCGGATGTGGCTCCTCGTACGTCACCCCGCGGTCCGCCCAATATCGCTTCACTTTATACCATTTCAAATAAAATAATATCGCCAGTAATAATATACACGTGTACAGGAGCATTGCCAGTCTGTTAAAAAAAAAACTTATTAATATGTATAAAGATATTTAAATTATCGAATTTTAACAAATGCATTGAAAAAGTCAACCACGCGTAAAGTGAACGTAACTGCAATCTTAACTTATGTAGTACCTCGAAAACTAGACGTGATGTATCATTAACTATTCACGCCAGCGATCACTCATGCGGATATGGAATTGTGTAATGCACCTACAATTAGGATAGGTGTAAATTTTGTGGAAGATCTGTCAAGCGTCTCCAAGAAATGTGCGTTAGTACGCAACGGATCTTGCGTCGCGTGTGTGAAATTGAATATCGATACGGATATTTAACATTCAGACAATTTCCAACTGACTATTACGTGACGACGAATCTTTTGTCAGATATGTACCAAGCCTTAGAATAAGTACTTGTTACTACGTGCTTACTATAGCAAAGTGAAATTCCCAAAAATATTCAAATGGGTTTAAAAAGGATTTCCAATATATTTATTTTTCCCATGCCTCAGCAACACCCTTTATCTCTAAATAGCAATAAAACTTACTAAAACCGGCCAAGTTAGTTATAGTATGGGAGCCCCCTCAAATATTTATTTTATTCTGTTTTTTCACGGTGATTTGCTATGATAGCGGCAACAAAAATATATTGTCTGTGAAAATTTAAACTATCTAACTATCACAGTTTATGAGATACAGCCTGGTGATGGACGGACGGACAACAGACTCTTAGTAAATAGGGTAAAATTTTTACGGATAAAATTTTTACAGATTTTGGCTACTTGAAAAAGTCTATAAGTATGTATAGTTTACAATATAGTATAATTTCTTTACAAATGCCCATAGTTGTAGTAGTTGTCGTAGTTGTAGAAAAACAGTTGAAAGGAGAATGAAATCCGATAGAATGCTGTAAGAGGCAAAGGGAAATTTGCCTCTCCCCTTCCCTTCTATTCAGAAATAGAAGGGAATGCATGGATAAAGTTTTCTCGCTCCGCAACATCGTCTAGATAATTATTTGGCCGTTGAACGGAAGCTTTTCTGCGGTTTTGTGGACCCAGAGAAAGCATTTGATAGAGTAATAGGTAAGGAACTTAAGGGCATACTGTCGGGATATGGGATCGATGGTGTCCTGCTGCGTGCTGTGCAGTCCACTTAGGAGGACTGTACAGCATATGTGCGGGTAAATGGCAAAATATCGCTTTGGTTTGGCGTCAATATTAGCGTTTTTATCATGTATCTCGACGGTTGCCTTCGGAAAATAAGATCTATGAATGTTGAATTGAAAATGTGTTATTCAATCCAACTGATCTACAAACTCTAGTCACAATGGTGAATTGAACGCGAAGAAGGCAAAGATCATAGTATTCAAAAGAGACGATACCAGAACAAATCTAAGAAATATGAAGTGGATCTTGGATGTGCTTTTAACATAGATTGAATGTATACCGCGGACATAGAAAGGAGAGTGGGTGTTGGAAATAGTTTGAACACAGCGTTCTGGGAAATTTTCTTGGCAAAACCTTAAACCATAAAGGGTAGCTGCAGTAGTGCAGCTACACAGTGCAGTGCGTACGTTAGAAAGTGCATGTAAGTAGTATAAATGCAGTCGAGATGCGATCGTTACGTAGAATTTGGGAAGTAACACTCTCAGACCGCATTCGGAATGAAAAATAAAAAAAAGAGTTGACTTGAAAGATAGCGTCGGTGTAAAAATCAAAGGATTTGCTCCGTTGGTTCGAATATATAGAAATCATGGATCTGGCGAGTCAAGAATGAAGCTGGATCAAGACAATAACAAAACTGATATACAATACGATAGTAAAAGGAAGCAGAAGCCGAGTGTTGACCACAATAAATGAGTTAGATTATAATATTTACATACAAAATCTAGATAAGATACTTGTAAATATAGTTTTACAGTTAATAGTAGTTCAACAAACATCATTTTGGCGTAGATGATAAGACACATTTTATTATAACGGCATTTTATATATATTTGCTGTTACTTATCACGGTTGTCTGACCTGGTCACTAGGTATTATGTCTCTAGCTAGCGTGATATAAAAATGCAATAAGAAAATATTAACCCATCTTAGTAAAGAGTTTCGGTCATAACTTTGGTTTGGTGTAATATTTACTTGTATAATTTGTCTATGGGCTGGCTGAATGTACGTAGACGATAGCCAAATAAGAATTAAAATGATGTAATCTTCTATTAAATATTATCGAGCGGAAATAAAGAGATATCGAATTGCCGACCCCGATTCATTGTTATTTTGATAAAATATAGCAAATATGTGTGTATTTGTTGAGAAACTACTTAAATCAGATAAAAAAAAAAACAAAGAAAAAATTAAATAAATTGAAGCTAGTTGATCACTTTCCATTATTTTGTATCAATAACTAAACATAATTCTTATCGTAATATTTTGTCAATCACTTATCAATGTTTAGTTTCAATAATTTACTGTTTTACTTTCTCTTAAGAAATTGGATGATAAGTGATTTTTTTGTAAATCATAACCTAATCGAATCCCCGCCACTTGAGACTTGAGGGTCAAGTCCTTGATTACTTGTTTCTTTAGTTGTAAGTTAATGTCGCCCGGTTTCTGAATTGAGAATTTGAAGTTGAGCACGTCTCAAACCGTGCTTAAGCCATTTTAAACGTAAAAAACTTAAGTTATTTAGAATAATCAGTTGAGATTTTGTGCTTTTCTCAATTCAGAAACCGACCGTATAACTCTGAACTTCACTCTGTATATTTCTTCTATAATCTTGAGTATATTAAAAGTTTCTAAAAAAGACTAGTTTGCTTTCGCTACGTAACAAATAACTAAATATTTTAGAAGAAAATACCCACATTTTCACGATATGACTAAAGTAAGTCGTCATTGTGAATACTGAATTTAAAAAAATACATTTTTAAATAGATAAGTTATTAGGTTATTAATATATCTTAGGATATTATAAAAAACACGAAGTTAACCTGTTCGATATTGTTAACAATAGAAGCGAAAAAGTATAGAGATGCGGCCGACGGAAAGAATGGCTTGATCATACTGCACACGTGCGTATAACCCGCCGCACACCAAGCAACATATTCTTTTTAAAGCTACTCTCGAACTCGACAGCGTAAGCTGCTTGGGTGTCTTGGATAGGTATTTAAAAGTGATATTGAGGTTCTTAGAAGCTGTTTTCTCAAAGTCAGTCGTATGAAAGACATATCCAACTTTCCTTTCATCTGTTTAAAATAAGCGAATCTTAAAAAATATAAGTAAATGCTGTAGATCTCAGTAAACACTTTGGACGTTGCTTTTGACGAGTTGTAGTCGGCAGTTTTTGAAATGCAACATGTTAGGAAAACAGCAAATATAACGTTTTCATTTATACAAACACTATGAAAAACAAAGTAATTTAATTAATTTTCTTGATAATCTGAGAAAAATATACACAATTTATACTCATATTATTAAAAGGAAATATATCATTACTAGTGGACGCCCGCGACTTCGTCCGCGTGGAAGTCGGTATCCCGTGGGAGTGAGAAGTTTTCCCAGTAAAAAGTACCCTATGTGTTATTCTGATGTATAACCTATATTGCTGTAAAGTTTTATCCAAATCCGTCCAGTAGTTTTTTCGTGAAAGAGTAACAAACATCCATACATCCATACTTACAAACTTTCGCCTTTATAATATTAATAGGATTTGTTTGGAACGAGTAGGCTCCAACACAACTGGACCTATTTCATACGCAGGTTAATTAATAATAATAATAATTAGCAGGTTAGTTAATAAAAGGGATGATAACTAATTTTTGTTTGTTTGTCCGTCAGTTAGAGTGTTAAAAAATATTAAACACGTATTTTTTTATTTTTTTCGTAATTATAAAATTACGGCGTTACATTGAGTTGAAATTTCGTGTGACGTCACGTTAGAGTACGTTTTCGACTCAACTGTGACGTAGCGAGCCCCCGCTTTTCAACTTTAATGCCTGTTATCTAAGCTATTTCTTGTTAAATTGAAGTAAAAAAAAACATGTATCTAATATTTTTCTATTATCTGTCTGACGGACTAAATAGAATTGCATTTTTTTTACCCAGTCATCATCCCTATTCACACACGCAAAGTTGCGGGCAAACAGCTAGTCTTTCTGTTATTATACAAATAACGTTTTTATACATATTTTGAAGCATTTATCTCAAAGATAAATAATAATAAATTTCATCACATCATTTTACAAATAATAAAACATTTACAAAACTAAAACTTTATATTTCTGAAACAAAAAATGCCTGTACCCTGCATTATAAGCAATCACATTTATATTTCCTTATAAAATAGATAAATAAAGAAAAGTACTTACAAATTATTTGCCAAACTAGCTTCAATCTATTATCGTTTGAATGCCAGCAAAACTGTCTTATCAATATTAAAGTTACACCCCAAAAATAGACAAAGAAGACACACTATATATCATTATTCTATAATATGTACTTAGTTAAGTTAAATGACCGAGCACTTTGCTCTATGGCCATCGTCACTATCGGAAATGAAATAACTACTCATTATAGTAACTAGTCGTCAAAGAGTAGTTACTACGACGAGGAACTATCCAGACTAGGGTTACCACCCGTACTTTATAATAAAGTATTGTACGTTATTTCAGACAATTGTACTCTATTCTCTATAAGAAAAATAAAGTACACGAAAATACTTTATGTCGTATGATTTGATTTGTTTGTGATTTTGAAGCTTAGTCGTAAGTATTTTTTCGTTAAACAAAATTTATCGATTCATGCTGAATTGATACACAAAAAGAAAATGTATTTTTAAGTTTAATAATAAAGAAAAATAAATAATACTTTATTTTGAATCAATTTACTTTTTTTTTACCTATAATAACTAATGTACAGTCGGCCAAGAAAGTACAGCGTCAACTAACAACAAGGTTGATTTTCCGTAGCATTAATTTTTTGACACGTCAAGTACACGTCATTATTGCTATCTTCATC